TAAATAAAATATAAAAATCTAAAAGCCCATGCTGCTCATCCAGAGGACCTGGCTCCCAGCATGTCCAGCATGTCCAGGTCCACAAATGCACCCACATAGCCAAAAGTAACAAAATAAAGTTCAACGTGCAGAAGGAGGGCAGACAGGGTGTGGGGGTTCTTGTCTCCCTGTTCTTTCCCTGAAAGACTATCATGTACTGAGAGAGTCCATGCCCAAGGATGACTCCATGCCGGGGGGTGGGGGCTCCTAGAGAATTCTTGAATTCCGACTGCTCCTCTCTCATCCATGAAAGCCAATGGGTGATATGAACTGACCTGGTCCTGGGTCCCCCAATGCCTCCTTGAGACTCACATTTTGTAAATAATCTCCCAAATGACCCCGTTTTTATGCATCATCGATGTTCTGCTTGACCCACAACTGGCAGACAGTTTGGGTCTGGATGAATAACTTGACCCCTGTCTGCCTCCACATGTCAAACGGAGGTAATCATAGTCATTTTCTTCCTAGACATCAGAGGATTAAGTGAGTTATCCTTACGTGTGAAACACTTAGAACGCTGCCCAGCATGTAATAAGCATAATTCTTTTATTTTTATTTCTGTCGCTATCGCCACCATCATTACCATCAGCAGCACAGTAAACAGTAGGCACTGTCCTCCAGCAGCCAACCATCTGCTTTCGGCATGCTGAGCCAGTGATTACAGAAGGCTGCTCTGTAAAGGAAGGACTGGGAGAAATCAGACAATTGCTACATAAAGAAGCCTAAGGCAAAACCTGGGGTGATTTAACAGCTCAGGGCAGGGAAGGTAGCTGGTTGTTAGAAGCAGACCCAAAAGATACTTGCTCTGCTCTTTCTCGAAGCGCGTTTGGTGTCTTATCCTCGATTCACAGACAATTTAGGGCTAGGAAGGACTCTAACTAGACATATAACCTCTCATTTAGCACTTTATTTGGAAAGGAAAACTGATTTCATCAAAATAAACTTTTGAGTCACTTAAATGTAGACCTTGTACAAGAAAACTCGGGGAGGAAAGAACACGCTGAGGTCATCTGGACCTGCTCAAAGGGCGCTCACCTAACAACCACTGGGAGAGGACCGTTTCCCCCTAAAGATCCCAAAGTCTAAGAGGGGAGGAATAGCACTGTGTTTTCTCCCAGAGGAGAGAAATGGGTGGAGTGGGAGACAGTCAGACAGACAGACAGACAGACAGGCATGCACGCATACACGGGAGGGGGGTGGGTGGAAGCTCCCTATGCATCCTGCAGACTGATTGATAATGCCTACCAGGTTCAAGGGAATACTAGTTGCTATGTATCCAAAGCATTGAACCAGCATTCATATAAAATCGCAAAAGTGTTGGCTAGGAGGGAAGGATGCCTCAGAGAAGAGAGGAAATTCTAGAAGATTATGTGTGTCTGCACCAGGTCAGGAGAGTCCCATTTCCATGTAAGAAAGAACGGTGAAGTCCGTCCCTTTAAAAGCAGGAATCTTTCGAGACACTGAAACTCAGTCTCAATGGTAAATGTTTTATTTCATCTCTCTGAGCTTCTATTTCCTGTAAAACGAGAAGGCTGAGCCAGATGGTCCCTGCGGCTCCTTCCAGTTCTTTCTACCCAGGATCCAGTGAATTTTAAATTGGATATTACAGATATCAAAGCGCCTCCTCCTAGCCTCTGATTCTCAGATTCTATTTCAAAGAAACAGTCGAAGGTTACACCTCACTTGTGAAAGGATCAAAGTCCCTTTCTGGTGTCTGTCTTGCGTTTTGTTCTCTCTCTCTCTCTCTCTCTCTCTCTCTCTCTCTCTCTCTCTCTCATTTCTCAGTGGATCTCTGGTGCCTAAGTCTAAAACTTTATTTTAAAAGCATCCATTTGCTTCAAAATCCTGATGAACAAGTTTAGTTTAAAGCTGCTGAGTTATGGGTGGCATGCTGAAGGCTCAGTCACTGGCCAATCAGCACCCGCTCAGAAAGCCGGCTTGAAACAAAAAGGGTAGAAAGACACTTCAAGGAATGTTAGAAGCCAAACTGCTCACCGAGAGGCAACACTAACATCAGAGACACCAAATGACGCACCAACAGCTGGAATTTATAAAGCAGCTGTAAAGCCATAAGGAAATGACAACCTTAGAGACAGGAGAGAGTGTGAGCAGTGTGCTGGGGAGAGATGGGCTGAGGGCTGCAAGTCGGTCCGTCTCACTGAGAGTCAAAACATGCAGATAAAAACAGCAAACAGCATCTACTTCATTTCTACCACTGAGGCAAAAATCCTGAAGTGACTGGCAGTCGCCAGAGTTTGTGGTGATGTGTGAACACAGGGATGCTCAAGTATCACTGACAGGACGAACACTTTTTGGAGACAAGATTGAACGAAGCAGAAGATAGACAGACTTTTACCAAGTAATTACACTTGTAGGAACCATAGCCCAGTGAAACCCTAACAGAATGGTTCTGTCAGTGAGCTTACAAGGCTGTGTTTATACTAGCAAAAACAGGTCATGGTCAAAATGCCTTGAAGGAGAAAAGAATAAATGTTTGTATAATCCTACAATGGCACTCAAAATGAATACACTTCAGCTACATGTACTAATGTGAGTCTGTAAACACCTAATTATATGTATTTATGGTATTACTTCATTTGCTTAGTATTGGAAAACCTCAACCAAAACCCATTTATTTATATACATGTAGTTGATGCATGAAGTCATGGATGGAAATGTATAGAGAGCCAGCATATCCCATATTAGGAGAGTGGCAGCCTAAACTTCTGAAGCCTTCCCAGAGCCTGGCATTCTGGTGCCCACCTAATGCCAGCACTGGGGTGGCTGAGGCAGGAAGATCATGAGTTTGTGGCCTGCTTGGGCTATAGAGGCCCCATCTCAAAAATGAAATCAAATAAATAAGGAGACTTGTTCACCTGATCTGGAGAATTGGCTCAGTGATTAAGAGTACTTATTGCTCTTGCAGAAGACCTGAGTTCAACCCCCAGCGCCCACATAGGTCTTGGAGCCATCTGAAACTCTAGTCCCAGGGAATCCACAGCCCTTTTCTGATCTTTGAGAGCACTAGGCACAAATGTGGTACACATACATGAGGGCAAAACACTCATATACATAAAATAATAAAATAATTTTTTTATAGAAAATACATTTTCAGTGTGTGAAGAAACTGGTCCTGCGGAACCACGGCCACAGGCTCTCCATGACTCGGGGCAACAGCAGGATGTCTGAGAGGAGTTTTGGTGAAGATCCAGAGTTGAAGGTGTGCCAGAAGCCAGAGGCCTTGAACCAGACCAACAACTCATTGCAATGAACATTAGTAAGTAAAGTCGAGTGGACAGAAGGGTAGACTGTGTGACAACCACAATTCCCAAGGCCCCTAAGGCGAATGAACAGGTGTTGGAGAGGTGGGAAAGATGGAGGTTTGTTCTGTTTTGTTTTTAATTAATGTTTTTAAGTTTTCTTTTGGGGGGGCAAGGATCAGATATGGAGGGACAGGGAAATGAGTGGGATTGGGGTGCATGATATGAAATACTCAAAGAATTAATAAAAAATATGTTTAAAAAGAGAGAAAGAGACACTCGTTCACATGGCCCGAGAGAGTTCTGTGCTGCTGTGGTAGATAACTAAAAAGGTTTAGAGATACAGAAGGAACAGTTCAAGACACCCTGGAGCTGACCTCGTAGGAAGGGGTAAGGCGTGTTAAAAAACCAACAAACACATGGAATATAGAAGGAACACAGGTACCACCAAGGGCCACATCTGGGACACCTGAAACAGCAGAATGATGATAGTGATAGGCTATAGATTATGAAGCAAGTTTCACAGGTCTCTATTGATATAAAGAAATAAGGGCACAATGGAAACAGAAAAACCACTCCTTAGAAAACACCAAAGATGTTACTTTGAGAAGACTTTTTTTTTTTTTTTTTTTTTTTTTTTTGGTTTGGTTTGGTTTTTTGAGACAGGGTCTCTCAACAAGAGTCCTGGCTCTTTTAGAACTCACTCTCTAGACCGGGCTGGCTTCAAACTCACAGAAATCTGTCTGCCTCTGCCTCCCAAGTACTGGAATTAAAGGTATGTGCTACCATACCCAGCTAGGAGACTGTCTATAGACAAAAATCTCTTGTATCGCGGGCTGATGTCAAATTCCCTATGCATCCCAGAATGACTTTGGATTTCCGATTGATGGAGCAATTACTACTGTGGCAGGCACAGACCAACAAGGATGCTAATGGTGGAGATGCAGCTATTCAGTTTACCAACAGGATATCTGCATCCTCGAAGGCTTTCTACATGAGAACTTCTTAACAGTTACTCGTTACAAACAGTAGATTAGTGACTTCCTAGTAGGAAAACCTGCAAACAGCCTCTTTAGCCAAAAATCAGAGTGATCCAGGATGGACCGCACTCTGTCCAGTAAAGCTCCAGGCCCACACTGAGTACCTCCTGAGACGGATGCACCGACGGGAGCACAAAGCACTTCTATGCTATTCCGAAAAATGCAAGACTTGAATTTAAACAAAGAAGAACACCAGCCAGATGCAAACTGAGAGACATTCTGTGAAATTAATGCCCAGTGCTTTTCACACGAATATCCTAGGATGAAAGTCAAGGAAGCCGAAGGAACTGTCCCAGAGGCAATGCAGGAAGCTGGACCAGGGGAGACAGGGGTCAGTAGACAGCTCGTGGCATCTGCATAAGGTCTGTAGGTTAGTTGAGCATCGCTGGATGTGGTGCTAATGTGGGTACCATCCAGCACTTGGAATCGTGAATCAGGAAAGGAATTTCAAACCAGTTTCAGATGTATAGTGAGACCCTGTCTCAAAAGCTAAAATGTCTGATATCCTCTAGCGTCCTGACTTTGATAATAGCACTGTGATGGTGGAAGATGCTCAACTGGGTGAAGGGTAAAAGCAGACTTACATTATCTTGTGACTTTTGGGGTCTAAAGCCATTTTAGGATGAAATGTTCTACAAATGACTAAAATAAATATGACAAAAACACTTTATAAAGGGTCCATCATCTTGTCTATGTCTCCCCACGTTTAAATTCAACCCTTGCACTCATAGTAAGAGAAAGCAATGAAGAATATGTAAATTTCACAGCTGAACAAAGAACTTGATAGTCCCACTAAGCAATCTTAAAACATTGAGTCACCACGGTGGTGGTCAGGAATTGACGGAAGAAAAGAAAGATGAACTGCAGCTCATCCGCTAGTCCCCACCTCCTGCCACCAAGCGAAGTGCAATGCCCGATGTGTGTGCTTCCTGCTCCGGAGCCTGGCTTTCCCTGGCGGTCCACGGAGATTTCTCTCCGACTGATGCTCTAATGTTTCCACCCAATTTGTTTTCGCTTAATTCCTCACCAGCCTGACCATCTGTGCTCCAGGCGAGTGCTCAGCTCTGGGAGTAATGGTCAATTTCTAGGAAAATTTGGAGAGAAATAAGAACATCAGTTGTATCAATTAGCTGTGGGAAGATGAGATTTAGTCCCAGGAAACACTGACTCTGAAGGGCATTGTGCTGAGCTTCTTGTGGAGATGTGTGTGAGATTTGGGGACACAGTGGCAGCATGATCTGGGTCTATGGTGATCATCCACAGGAGGTGTGAGACTCCATGAGAGCGACAAGGTTTGGGGACAGAACTCTTACTATTTATCTATTTTTCTTGCTTCTTAAGTTTAAATGTTCTTCAATAGGTAAATATCCCAAACCTATTTTAGATAGTAAAACTCCTACTGTACAGTCTTTGGAGGTACAAAAAATTAAGATTAAGGCAGGATAAAGAAAAGGAAAAGTTAAAGGGCTGTGGGAGGGAAAGAAACCCCTTACTCTGGAACATGGTTGGAATCTCTCACTTCCCAGAGGCAAGAATTCCAACAGCAAGCTTGGGGGCTAGTCAGTCAGTCAAGTGCCTCCTAGCAGCCTGCAGGAGACCCTGGATCTGATCCCTGTCAGGCCTATCATCCCAGCACTTGTGAGGTGGAGGCAGGAGGATGAAAGGTCCAAGGTCATATTTAGCTACCTAACGAGTTCAGGATAGCCTAAGCTAGTTTAGGCATCTCGAAAACAAAACAAACTGAAAGGAGCCCAACACAGTTAACACAGTAGCTGCCAAGACTGCCCACAGAGAGACAAGATTCCTTTTATATTGAAATATTTTTGATAAAAAAAATGTCACAGTAGCAACAAACTATGCTTAAGACCTGAGACTATACGGCCCTCAAATGTGGTGTTATTCTTTTCCAAAATATGAACTATAATTTCCTGAGAATATCACAAGCAGGGCTTTAAACTTTGTTTACAGTAAAAACATGCCTCAGCTCCCTCCTGTCATCCTGGTAGAGCAGACTTTACCTTATCAACTGTAATCCTAGCCAAGGAAATTTAGGAGCCACCCTGTGTTCTTTCTTAAAACCCTTAGGAATCTTTTCGAAGTTTTTAATTAATTAATTTAATTTAATGTGCCTGAGTGTTTTGACTGCACGTCTCTCTGTGTAGCACATATGTGTTTGTGACTACGGAGGTCGGGAGAGAGTGGCAGATCCCGTGGAACTGGAATCACAGATGTTTGTGAGCCACCTTGTAGGTGCTGGAATCAAACTCAGGACCTCTGTTAGGGCAACAAGCACTCTCAACCCTTAAAGCACTGCTTCTCAAACACCCACCTCAACCCAACCCCAGCAACCCTGAGAGACGGAACTTCAAAAGCTACTAAAACTGTATACATGGTAAAGACATTTAAGTCCAACCTCTCCTGAGAAGCCTACTCTCGCACATGGGTGTGTAATACCCCATCAAAAGCACCTTTCTGCTTCCTTTGTGCTTAAATCTAGTTATGAAATCTATTAATAAACCCCCACTCTGCGCTAAAAGAGAAACTCCAAGAATTTATCAAAATGTTATTTAAAGAAAGAAATCAGTCTTTTAGGGGACAGAGAAAAGAAAACAGGATTATGCTTTATTAATAATAGTGGTAAATGTGATAAGGAATCCAAGAAAGATGAGAGCTGCGTAAACACAAGTAGATTTGATTATTAGAATGTGGCTTCCAGGCGGGAGATTGATTCATCAGAGTCCTGTTGGGGGATGGGACGGCAAGAAGCTAAGTAGGAGGGGGATGGATTTGAGAGTGAGAAGAAGGGAGAGGAAGCCTGGAGCCTTGCAAAAAGAGCTGCCTTTGGGAGAGTGACAAACTTGAGTCCCCTGGCAGGGAAAGGAGCTGACCTAGAAGGAGATAATAACGTGCCCTAGAAAGAGGGAACAAAGTCAGGGAGGAGATGGCAAAGATAGCAGGGCAGAAGCAAGGGTGCCCCGATGAAGTGAGGACCCACTGTCTTCAGGGCAGCAGTGATGGAAGATTAAGGCATAAAAATGGGAGGAAGAACAAAGAGACACGGGGAAACCCGAGCATCTAGAGTCCCCAAAAAGCCAGGTGCAAGTCAAATGCTGAATGAGGAATGTTAAAGCTGAGGGAAGTCGAGCAGCTGGGGATAAATCGCATATGCGTGGTCCTTCTGCTGTCCTTCTCCTGCATTGTTGTTTACTAAGACACTTTCACATGCATTTTGTAGCTTCTCCCATTAACCCCATGATGTAACCGGGACAGATCTTACCAGCCCAGTTGCAGAGAGAAGAGAACCAAATCTCAGCGGTTTGATGCTTACCAAGATCACGCCCCCACAAAGTCAAAACCAAAATCTCTGTTCTTTTCAACGTATCACGTTAGGCCCTGCCGGGAAATAAAAAGCTACCAATGTGTGCTCTGTCAACAGAGTCATGCCTAATAATCTTGTTGGATAAACAAGAGTCTTCATTATATTTGTTATATTGTTAGGACGGGGTTGGTAGCAGATGGTAGATAGCGAGAATGGCCCTCTCCAGCTAAAAGCTGTTGGCAAGGGCATTTCGAAGGGTACAGTGATGGATGACATCGTATTCAACTTGGGGGAGACAGTTGAGTCTAATTGGATGACCCAAGGGTCAAGCCCAGGCTTTGTGCTATTTAACATCTCTTACGATTCTTACACCAGGCACAGAAAATGCCAGAGAGATCCGAAGTTAATCCTTACTGATGGGTGAGAAAAACACCAGGGAGACAGAGGGAACAAAGTAGAAGGAACTCGATGAGGTTTAGAGTAAAGAGGAGGAGGATGGGGAATCACATAAGGTTCAAAGTGGAGGAAGGTTTTATCCGTTCAGAGGAAATACAGATATGCTGTAGTGGGGAGAACTCTTACCGCCTTGGAAGAGGACCAAGAGATAATCAGGAGAGACGTTACAAGTGACAGGACATAAAACCGTCCGCCAAATGATGCAGCCGGGTCCCAGAGATAAAGATGCACCGACATGGTATCATCTCCTTAACAGAAAAGGAAGGGGGATGTATACATGTGTATGGAATCCGTGCATTCACGCATGCACGCAAGCATGTGCACTGACTATCTCAGAAAAATACAGAAGATCATCACCTTGGTTACCTCCAGTGAAATTTATCTCCAGTGTACATTATTCTATGTGGTTACACATCACTGCAGTTCCGAGTTATCTCTAGTTTAGCTCAATCCTTGTCATCCTCCAATTTGCCTTCTGTCCAGCTGACTTCACACCTGTATGTTATCTGCCTGGCCCTTGGGGACTTAGTTGGTGAGATCTGCCCACATGAGGAAGCAGGAAATGAAGATAAAAGGGGGACCTATAGAGGTGACTTGGGATATGGTTTTAAAGGTTACAATGAAAATCTTGGATACATAGTCTAGGGGTTGTTTCTGTTGATCAGCATTTCTAAACGTTCTGTTGTAAGCACGCACTACATTTTAAGACAAATACATGATGGTTTATGTTAAAAGCCAAGCTGCAATGAGTAATGACTGTCGCTCTCTACCAGGTCCAACCGCTGAGCTTCTGTTGAGATCTGGTGGGACAGTTTCCCTGATGAGTTCCACTTCCCATTAATCCTGTTAACTAATGGTGGCCAATGTTCAACATCATCACTAGCTGAGGTTAGGGAATGGACGCAATGCGTTAATCATACATGTTACCTAGAACAGCAAACTAGCCAGCATCATACACCCTTTTCAAGAAATTATTAGGCCTGTGTAGTGGTGCGTGACTATAATCCTAGCATTTGGGAGGCTGAGGCAGGAGGACTTGAGTTCCTTACCAGTCTGGGCTACACAACAGAGTGTATTTAATATTCATAGGTAACATTTGAATGAGTAGTTTTAAAAATATTATGAATAGCCTACTACAGTCATCCTCAGAGGGGGTCAGACGTCCTTTATGGATTATTTCAGAGGCAGCCCTTGGATTAAATTATCAATACATAATCTTTGAGAAACTTTGCCCAGAATTTGTCCATTGGTTTTGTCTGTGCATTACAAAAATAAATTCCAAATATACATACATTTTTCTTTTTTAAAAATGTAAGCGGACGGCCACTTTCGATTTGTTGCAGAACGCCATGGTGCTTGCCACGACAAGGTGGTGGCTCTGGATGATGCCCCGCCATCGTCTCTTTGTTGCGCGGCTGCTGAAGGAAATGATCTGCCAAGCAGCCCTAACCAGACATTTCGGGCCAGCAAATCACCTGCCTCCGTGACGCTAATGGCTTTCTTCTAATCTGATTATTATTACCCATTCCTTTCCTGTTGCTGGAGAAAGGCCTCTGGAGAATAGCTGCTTTAAAAATGAAACGGTTTCGACTACGAAAATACGCAACCTTGTGTCTTGGTGACAATTTGTCTTAGTCAAAGCTAAGCGAATTCAAATCCCATCCATCATATTCTTACCTCCACATCTGAAATCCTGGAAAGACTCCGTTTTGCCTGTTTCTCCCAAGTCATTTATTATTTTAAGGAGGAGGGGGGGTTTCCTACCTAATTAAAATTCAAGAGTACCCTTCTGTAAAGCCTTGATTCTGGCAAACGTGGGTATCTGCCAGGTGACTAGAAGACCAGGGCATGAGTGCGGACAGAGGCCCAGATGACATCACATTCTTGAGGGATTAGCAGAGAGACCTTTCACCTTCCCATCAGGATGTCCCCACAAGGCGGCTGACCTCTGTAACCTGGTCCTGACCCAGCAAGGAGCCTTGTTTAGGAAGCAGGGGTGCAGCTCTCCTCTCCCTTCCTTCTTACTCCTGTAACCTAAGTGGTAAGTCTGGGGTGCTGAAAGGTGAGCCTGTCACACACATCTCTCCAGCAGCCTGCCGAATGCAGAGATGTGACAGAAAAGGTCACGACTCAAAACCAGAAGGCTCCCTCGTGCTTTCCAGCTATCGGTATCTAGAGAAGCAGAGCTCTCTCCTAAGCTCCTCTTCTGGCAAGCTCCTTTCTCCCCTGCTCCTTATCAGGAGCCTCTACAGTGAGTCACTGGGGTTGTGAGGCCCTACATACTCAGAACCCAGGATGCAAGGTCAGGAGGAGGGTCAGAGGGTAAGGAGGAGGGTAGTCCCCAAGAGTGTCCTTCATTCATCTGCTTTATACCTGAGCTGACTGGCTCATTCCTCACCCACCCACGGGAGGCCTGAAGATACCATCCCTGCCTTTAGGAACAAATCCTTGACATTCCCAAAGCCGCCTGACCTCATACACCAACACCTCTATCTTTAGCAAATCCAAAAACAGACCTCAAGAAGAGGCGACAAAAATGCGTCATCCGCTTCAGGGTTTTGCCAGTCACCCTCACCCACTCACACCAATATCCTTGCTCTGTTCAGTGTCTTCTGGCCTCGTGTCACCAGAGCTGATAAGGAGGGAACATGAACCAAACAGATGTGGCTCAGTCGGAGGACTTGAGCAATGTGTCCAGACATGGGACAAAGCATTCCATCAGTTCGATGACTGGTAAAAGCTGTTCTATTTTCATTGTTAAAAGAAAGACAAAATACATATTTCTGTTTTTCAAAAGTTACAAAGTCAGTTAACCATCTCAAAGTGAGCTCTACTTTAATCAATAAATGCTATCTACAGTGCCCCACGGCAAGTCAGCTTTGCCTAAGCAAACCTGAGTACCTTCCAGGTTCTGGACATGACAACCATGACTCTGATGGGACATGGGGTCACATAGGACCATGGTATGTTACAGAAACTCGGGCTCGTAGGCTCAGGAAGATCCTAGGCACAGCAAGCCCAGTAAGGAAGGGTGAGACCATCTAAGCAACATTCAGGCTACAGGCGACAGGACTGGATAACACTGTGGCCTAACAGCGTCTGCCTTGAGCTGTTAGTTAAAACAACATTGTGCCGGATCATAGAACCTTATCATTAAAGGATCAACCTACCCCTGGACCCAGCAATACCACTCTTGGGAATATACCCGAGAGATGCCCTATCATACAACAAAAGTATATGCTCAACTATGTTCATAGCAGCATTGTTTGTAATAGCCAGAACCTAGAAACAACCGAGATGCCCTTCCATGGAAGAATGGATGAAGAAAGTATAAAATATATACACATTAGAGTACTACTCAGCAGTAAAAAACAAGGACTTCTTGAAGTTTGCATACAAATGGATGGAAATAGAAAACACTATCCTGAGTGAGGTAAGCCAGACCCAAAAAGAGGAACATGGGATGTACTCACTCATATTTGGTTTCTAGCCATAAAT